AAGATGGGCTGCTCACGTATGCAGAATGCAAGAAAACCGCATACCAAAATCGCTGCTTTACGGTGAGCTTGTAGACGGTAAGAGGAGGCCGGGTGGACAACTCAAAAGGTTCAAGGATATTTTGCACGAAAACTTAAAGGGGATTAACAAGCAGAATGGGAAGAAGCAGCTCACAATAGAACGGAATGGAGAAGAATTGTAAAGTCAGTTAAGAGCGACAACCAAAAAGTAAAGAGGCAACCGGAGGCAACAAAGCAATGAGATTTTTGAATGTCTGGAGTGCGGTAGACAGATAACATCACGTATCGGGCTTTTCAGTCACAGAAAAGCTCATGAAAGGAAACGCCTTGCGTAACTATCTTCTGATGCGTGTCAAATACTCGTCAGCGAGTAATGGCGGTATGTATGTATGTATCTTAAAGCGGAACTGAAGAACCTGGAAGCCTCTATCCGTAACCTGGAATGGGGATCCTCCAGCGGGCTAAGACACTTGAAAAAGTTCTTAAGAACTTACGGACGAGAAAAATCTAAGATTTTCCTTGATTTAAGTAAAAACAATCTTCGGATTGTCACGGGGTTTCTAACAGGAGACTCCTCAAAGAACACCTCAGTAGATTGAAGCTGAGAAACAACGGCGAATGCAGATTCTGTAGGGGAAAAAAACTGTTCGTGTCATAAACTTTGGTACGGCTAAATCTCTTTTTTTAATGAAAATTCAGTTTGTGCGATTGTTAAGTAAAAATTGAATAAAACTAAATCAGAGTAGTACAGAAAATTGAAAAGTTTACTTTTAATATGTACAGGGTGTATGTACAGTTGATTAAAAAAAAACTCATACATCAGGCATTTTTCCTATCCCACAAAATTTAACTTTCTCGTTATACAATAAAGCATCACCAATTTGAAATAAACATGACAAATTCGCGGTGGCATTCCGTCAATTCAGTTAAAAATGTCGCAAATATCATCCTTTAAAAAAGTTCAAATGATCACAATAGTTCCAGAAGACGGATGGTCGATTAGGAGAGCGGCCACTCATTTTGGGGTTGAAGATGGAAAAAGCGCTGGATTGAACATAATTCGAGGGATCAGAAATAAGGGTCAGGACGACCAAAAGTAAGTTCTTAAGTCCAAGATGAGAGACTTATTGATCATCTAAGGCAAAACCCTGTTGCAACATCTCTTTGTCAACAGTCAACAGAAGAGTTAAGAAATTTCAAATCTCCTGTCGAGTTGCTGCAAAAAAGCCTTTTTAACAGAGGAGCAAAAGCAGCCCAGGGTAATTTTTGCACTCTACAACATTCTTCAGGATAAGAACTATTGGGAGCGTGTTGTCTTTACTGAAGAAGAAAAGTTCCAATCATGTTCGAGCAGCAGAAAAGTTTTAGTTTATCGACAACCAAATTGTAGATGTCACCCCGGATACACCCATCAAGTTAAAAAGGCTGGAATTTTTCTATTAATATGTGGGGATGGTTTAGCGTTAAAGATTTGGGAATTTTCTTGCAAATCGAAGGAAGATCCAATAGTCAACGGTATATCGAAATCCTTGAAAATGTTATGCTTCCATCGGTACAGGTTTTGCACGAAAATAACGACTTCATTTATCAGCAGAACAATTGTCCAGTACACACTACTAACGCTGTTCACCACTGGTTGCAGAACCATAATATAGAAACTCTTCTTTGGCCAGCCAACAGCCCTGACCTGAATCCAATCGAAAATATTTGGGGTAGAATTGCAAAAATTATATACGAACGGAATTGGAGACCAAGAAATGCAGAAGAGTTAAGCGATGCAATTTATCGCGCATTAGATGGGCTCTCGGAAGACTATGAGTATTTTCAAAAATTAAACTTTTCAATGCCCAGACGCCTGCAGCTTGTTATAGAGAAAAATGGTGATCCCATCAAATACTAATTTTTGTATTATACTTTTTTTCTGAGTTTAAAATAATATACTGTTTTAATGTTTAAGGTTTGTGTTAATTTGAGATAAAATATATATTTTCCGTTTTCGAATTGTTTATTGTTTTAAAGCTGCTCATTCAATATGCATTTGAGCAAGAAGAGACAATGACAAATCCGTCACTGTCAGGCATGTTTCTTTTAAATTTGGGGGCACTAGTGCATTGTGGCATGTATATGTACACTAACAGAAAGTTCAATTTTGTGGGATAGGAAAAATGCGTGCGTGCGTTTTTTTTTGAAATCCAGTGTACAGGGTGATTCAAACTTCCCGCCCTTGGCTTATAACAGGAAAAGGAAAACTGCAAGTACAAATTTCGAAGACAATATTTGAATGGCAGTGTGTAAGGTATATTTTTTCGTATTTAAACATTTTTCAACTTTTTTCAAAATGGTGGAAATGACATCAAAAATATATTTTTTTCACAAAGTCATTTTTTTTCAAAAACTTCTTTAATGAAAGTTGTTTAAAAAAAATGTTTTTTCAGAATATGAAAAAAAAATTATGACTGAAAAAAAAATATTTTTTTTGACGTCATTTCCACCATTTTGAAAAAAGTTGAAAAAATTTTATATACGAAAAAATATATCTTACACACTGCCATTTAAATCCTGTCTTCGAAATTTTTATTTGCAGTTTTCTTTTCCTGTTATAAGCCAAGGGCGGGAAGTTTGAAACACCCTGTACATAAGTTATTGTATTTATTCTATTAAAAACTTTTTGCGATAATTTATCATAATAGTGACAAACAAGTATCGCATCATAACGTTCAGATGCAATAATTATTTCATTTGTCTATTTACAAATGACCAATATAGAATTAAAACTTTCATCTTTAATCAAACATCAAAGATTTTACACAAGAATTTTACAAAGACATAAATCAAAACCCAAATATACAGGTGCGGCGCATTTGCATTTCTTGACACTATTTTTGCTTTAAAGATATGTTGATATAATTTTTAAATATTCTTCTAAGTATTATACTAGTACTTTCCACTTGTTTTGTAATAAATACAGTTTACTACAAATATTGCAGATTTCGGATGCCATAATTTTGCCTGTTTACTGCGCTAAAAACTGACCAAAACGAAATTAGAACTTTTATATTCCCTCAAAGATCAAAGGGGCAAATATATAAAGAGCAGACTAATTAATTCCATACAAGAAATTTCGACTAGCATAAATATAAACCCAAATGGACCGGCTTTAGCATAGTAGTAAGGCTAATAGTAAACAGAATTTCATACTCACCGCGTGCAAGTCGTGTCGCGCGAACTTATTTTCGCTGCTTGCTCTCGACCGAAATAAGCTTTCTAAACCTGGAAAACTTTCGGCCAAATGTCCTTTTTCCCCAACACTAATATTAAGTCTACTATAGAAAGAATAATGCTCTCGGAGGATCAGAAAAATTGAAGAGATTCGAACGAAATCTGCCTATAGATCGCTGCGTGTATTTAGGGTGCACGTTACTCAGGTGGGAGAGAAAAACGGGGCTGTCGGAGCGGGGAGGTCGGAATCGAAAAATGTAAACCGTACAATTCCAATGCCCACTTTGGACTGATGCACCACTAACTGGACCAGAACCGTTCTGCTTTCCAAGCAGGAACCACCTTAAAGTGGAACTGAAGAACCTAGAAGACCAACTGTAACCTGGAATGGGAATCCTCCACCCGGTCTAAGACACTCAAAAGTTCCTCAGAACTACTTACGACCGAGAAAAATCTAGGATTCTCCTTGATTTAAGTAAAAACATTCTTCGGATTTTGTCGCGGGGTTTCTAACAGGAAACCGTCTCCTCAAAGAACACCTCAGTAGATTGAAGCTGAGAAACAACGACGAATGCAGATTCTGTAGGGAAAATGAAGAAACACCAGAACACCTTATTAATGAGTTCGCTGAGATGACAACCCGTTCGTTCCATAAATTTTGGTACGGCTTAATCTCCTTTTTTACTAATGAAAATTCAGTTTATGCGTTTGTTAAGTAAAAATTGAATAAAACTAAGCCAGACTAGTACAGATAATTGATAACTTTACTTTTGTACTCTTTAATAAGTTATAGCGATTTTATTTGTTTATTCTATTAAAAACTTTTTGCGATATTTTATCATAATAGTGACAAACAAGTATCGCATCATAACGTACAGATGCAATTATTTTATCTATCTACTTTAAAAATGACCAATACAAATGTAAAACTTTCATCTTGAATCAAACATCAAAAAGGCAAATATATAAAGCGCCATAATAATTAAATTATGCAAGAATTTTCCAATGATATAAATCAAAACCCAAACCTACACGCACGGCGCACCGGCACTTCTTGACACTATTTTTGCTTTAAATAAGAACTAAATGAATCCAAATCTAATAAAAATATCTGGATTTAATTTTTAAATATTCTTCTAAGTATTATACTAGTACTTTTCACTTTTGTTGAATTAAATACAGTTTACTACAAATATCGCAGATTTCAGATTACATATAATTTGGCCTGTTTACTACACTAAAAAAACCGACCAAAATCAAATTGAAACTTTTATATTCCTTCTAACATCAAAGGGGCAAATATATAAAACGCAAGCTTATTAAATTATGCAAGAATTTTCCAATAATATAAATCAAAATCCAAGCCTAACAGCGCGGCGCATTGGCATTTCTTGACACTATTTTTGCTTTAAATAAGAACTAAAAAATAAACTTAAATCTCATAAAAATATGGGGATTTAATTTTTAAATATTTTTCTAAGTTTTGTACTAGTACTTTCCATTTCTTTTGTATTAAATACAGTTTACTACAAATATTGCAGATTTCAGATACCATAATTTCGCCTGTTTACTGGGCTAAAAACCGACCAAAACCAAATTAGAACTTTTATATTCCCTAAAACATCAAAGGGTCAAATATATAAAGCGCAGACTAATTAATTTCATACAAGAACTTTCGACTAGCATAAATATAAACCCAAGCGAACCGGCTCGGCTTTTGCATAGTAGTAAGGCTAATAGTAAACAGAATTTCATACTCACCGCGTGCAAGTCGTGTCGCGCGAACTTATTTTCGCTGCTGCTCTCGACCGAAATAAACTTTCTAAACTTGGAAAACTTTCGGCAAAATGTCCTTTTTCCCCAACACTAATATTAATTCTACTATAGAATGAATAATTCTATCGGAGGATCAGAAAAATTGAAAAGATTCTAACGAAATCTGCCTACAAATCGCTGCGTGTATTTAGGGTGCACGTTACTCAGGTGAGAGAGAAAAACGGGGCTGTCGGAACGGGGAGGTCGGGATCGGAAAATGTAAACCGTACAATTCCAATGCCCACTTTGGACTGATGCTGGAGATTGGCGCGCACGGGGATGCTGGGATCCGTCGCCGCCGCGACGCCGGTCGTCAGCGTGCGTCGTCCTTGTTTGTTTTATTTAGAATCTAATTATGTAGAAGAAGACGCGTCGCGGGGGTTGGACGTCGACGTTTAAAACTCACCTGAGCGAGCTATGATTTATGTTCGCTCTATTATTGCGAGACTTGCGAGCAGTATTTCATCAATAATATTTCGTTGTGTAGGGGGTAGATTAAAAATTCTATTGATCGTTAGTTTATTATTAGGAACTATTGTTCTATTGAACAAATCATTTTTATGCAGAATTATACAGAGAACACAATAAAAACATTAAAGCCAAAATATTCAAGAATGTAAACCAAGGCCCTGAAGTTGTTCCAGAAATAACTGCATACGAAATAATAAAAAAAAGCACTTTTCGAAGTGAAAAATAACAAATCACCTGGAAAGGACGAGGTAGTTATCGACACTATTAAAATCGGATGAAAAAGCTACTAAAAGCACTGAAGCCGCTATTCAACCAGTGTTTGTCAACGATAAAGTAGTGTAGTAGAACAATCCATGTTATTCGTTCAACAAAGCTGAAGAGGTAATATTTTGGCAAACTGTATATAAAAAACAAAATGAAATTAAAAATATAAAATATTAAATGAAATAAAAGAACCTACGTTGTGTTAAAAATATTTTTATTGTGATTACCTCGGATGCGCTCGACAGAAGCAATATTTTGAGAAATTTGAGAAGAATAGGTTATGTAAATGAAACGCTAAATTTGTAAATAGCCCTATTTATTTTGTTAAATGAAATGAAAGGAATGCCGAAAGGAATGCCGTACTCACATATAGCACAGCACAGAAAACCCAAATCACTATTCCTGAGAATCCAACTATGCTGTTTTGAACTTTAATTAAAGAGAAATAATAATAATACAAATACTGTCTTCATACCAAGGTTTGAGATTTAACACACATAAAACACTCATAACTGAAGAGGTGTTGTTAGTTAGTAGGTCCCCACCTGAAGGTACTGAGGTCCCTGGATTCGAGAGGCCACCCGCCTAGAGTTGATAGGTTTGGTGCCAATTTCTTCCCTTTTGAGATAATATTTATTCGCCCACGCACGGTTGGAAATTATTAGTACACGCGACAAGGCCCTCATTGTCACACTTAAGTCATACTGAACAAAACATCGGCACGAATAAACGATTGAATTTAGATTTAATTTTAAACTAGAAATTATTCACAGCATAAATCGAATTCATTAAATACATGCACATGTTATATACATGCATATATTATTATCTTTGTCAGATCAAATAATTAAGAAAAAAGAACATAAATAACAACAGGAAAACAAAATATATGCGAAAACATTAAAAAAGAATGAGAAAACACTTACATTAACTTTAATAACATTCTTTGTCACAAAACTTAGAAACCAAAAAACATCCCGTCTAAACAAAGAAAAACAAAAATATAATATGCTATTGGTATGGGTAGAAAAATCTAACATAATTTCCTTAAATCTAGATATAACTTAGAATATACAAATACATTTTTTTTAATATTCAAATTAAAATCCACTTCCGACGGCTAGAGCAGCCTTTGAGCTATCTAAAAAAAAATCCTGCACTGAATAAAATGCTTTATTTACTAAATATCCCCTTAAAGCGGACTTTAGTTTGTTTCTTGGCAAGTTTCTAATAGCCATGGGAAAAGAATTGTAAATTTTTACAGCATTAAATTTTACATTTTGTTGAATAAATGTATAATTACATTTTTCTGATTTTAGATTTTTGTACAATCTTGTATCATGACTATGATCTCTATTGCATTCTAAAAATAAATCTTTGTTATCACTTACAAATAACACTGATTCCATGATATAAATACTAATAATAGTTAGGATATTTTTTGAGATAAATACACCTTTACAGTTATCTTTCGAATGCATTCCATACATAGTTCGTATCAGCCTTTTTGTAGTATCAATATCCTACTAATATCTGAAGAATTTCCCCAAAAGACAATTCCATATTTCAAGCGTGAATGTATATATGCATAATATGCACTCAATGCTGCTGTCTCGTTTATTTGGTTACGTATAACTTTCATTGCATAACAATAACTGGCAATATTTTTTTGCTAAAAAATCTATGTGACATTTCCAGTCTAGTTTTTTGTCGATGTGTAAGCCCAGAAGCACTACCTCGTCTTTAGAAGTTAGATTGTGCCCTTTATATGGTATAGATATTTTATCGTTTGACCGGTTTGCAAACAGAAGAGTCTGTGTTTTTTGAATACCTAAAGTTAGATCATATGCATTGAAATATTCTGTTAGCGTATTAATATTATCGATCACTCTTTGCAATAATATTTTTTTGTCCGATTCGCTAAAAATCAGAGCAGTATCATCCGCGTACATGACCATATACTCAGATGAAATAGTGGGAAGTTCATTCGTGTATAGTATATACAATAATGGTCCTAAAACCGATCCTTGTGGAACACCCTTTTTTATTGAAATTTCATTTGAGTACAGCACTTTTCCATCCTTATCCACATCAAATACGCATTGTATTCGGTTTTCCAAGTATGATTCTACCAGTTGACGAGCAATCCCTCGTATACCAAAATTTTCTAACTTATTACATAGTTTTTTATGATTAACGGAATCAAATGCTTTGGATAAGTCTAAGAGTAAAGCCATGGTGATCTTATTGTTATTCAGTGAGGTTAATACTTTCGAAAGGGATTGATAAATAGTACGAATGGTAGATTTGTTTCTTCTAAAGCCATTTTGCAGATCGGATAATAGACTGTTATTTTCAATAAAAGTTATAAATCTCTCATATATGATTTTCTCAATGACCTTATTGATGTTAGAAAGGATAGAAATAAGTCACATAAGTAATTGTTTTCATCTGATACTCTCTCTTTTTTATGAACTGCCCTAATTTGAGCAATCTTTAGTTGTTCAGGATAAGTCCCTGTTAGAAACATTAAATTTATTATGTGCGCTATTGGCTTAGAAATGATATTTGCGTTTTCTTTTAATATACTTGTAGGTATTTGATCTATTCCGACAGATTTCTTATTTTTTAAATGAGCGATAACATTTTCAACTTCCAATTCGGTAGTCGGTTGGAAAAATATTGAGTTCTGGCATACTTGAGTATTATTTAAGTTAGAGTCTGGAGACCTGTTAAACATCAATGTCTAAATTAGCGAAATATTCATTAAGTTGATTAAGTATTAAAATAGGACTATCATATTTTTGCGCAAAATTGTCAATTACAGAATGTTCTTTCTTATTCCCTGAAATTTTATTTACAAGTGTCCAGACAGCTTTACTTTTATCGTCTGATTGTATTATTCAATCATTATTATATTTCTTTTTAGCTTCTAGAATTACTTTTTTTAGGACGCTACTATAATTTTTATAAACGGAGCTGTCAATAATACCATTTTTCATTTTATAATATAAATTTCTTTTTGTTTTGCTAGATATCTTTATGCCTGTACTTATCCAGTTTTTAGATTTATTATTAATATTTATTTTTTATATGGGAAAATTACATTTATAAAGTGGTTTAAGCTGTAAGCAAAATTGTTATAAAATGTATTAACATCATTAAGACAGAGTGTCTTAATAATTAGTGATTTGAATTTAAAGAAATATGTTTATTTTTAAATAGGCGGTTCATCTCAGCAGCGATATCAAATTAATTTTTCGAGATAGAAGGCTTTTTCAAGTTACTACTGCTATTATTTTGTCTTAACTTTTGGATCATCGTTTCTTTATTTGTATTTAATTCTCTGGCGTTTCAATCTTTCTGGCGTTTTCTTCGTACATACATTTAAATTTTCTTACTACTTTCTTTATGTAATCCTGCAAGTTTAGCACTAAATATGTGAAAATCCTGTACACAAACATACAGCAAAAATATTATTAAAAATAAATAAAGTTATTTTAACATAATGTATACGGTATTCCACATTACTAATTACTATTGAAAAAGGCGGATTTATCTCGGTAAATATGTTTTCAAGTTTAAGGTGTGCGAAATACTAATTGAATTTTTATACCTCAATTTCTAGAACAAACAAGTTCCCCGAAGTATATGTTGATCCTTTAAGAGCTTTTTACCAGAATAGATGGATGTGGCTCTGCCGCGAGTAAAATGGAGTTTTGATAGATTAAAAATATTTAGAAAGCGGGATTACTTCTGGGAAAAAATCGCTTAACCAATCACTTCTCTATAAAGATGAATATTGATTATAATTTTGAAAAAAAATATAAGAGAAGAAAGAACGTTATGACGAATGATATTAAATCGTAATTTTTATATATGCTACTGTAAATGTCCGAAATACGGTAAAACCTAAGATAAGCGGGCTAAACCTAGGATTTACCGTTAGACTGGTTATTTGGAGGGCGTTAATGCATTGGTTAGCCTGGTTATTTGGGGGGTGTTAATGCATTGCTTAGGTGGTTATTTGGTGGGGTTTGTTGGTTTTTACTACCACTTGCTTTTGGTAAATTCTAGATTTTACCGCATTTCGGACATTTACAGTAACATATACAGGGTGGCCCATCGAAAACGTTCCGCAAGACATAACGGCCAGGATATCTTTTTTTTCAAAAAATCCAAAAACACGTCAATTTTGTTTGTGAGGAGGGCAACTTTTGCCCCAAAAATGATTGCAAAATATTCAACCCTTTAAGCGGGGGCGTCATCCCCCAACTTTTTTCAAATGGGAAGGGGGGTCAAGTGGCACCGCAATGAAAAGAGCTTTCTATTCTCTATATTTCTCCGCTTCGTTTTTGAAAATCGGTCGAGTTATTGAGAAAATATGAAGGATTGAAATTTGAAAAGTTTATTTAAACATTTATCAGAGTAAATGATAAGGATAAATTCCTTCGACCAATTTGCTGTTTTTTCTTATTATTTCTAGATGTTTACGCATTTTT